CGTGGAACTATTAAGCCTTTTGACTCACCCCCTTTGTATTTGCACATCTTCTTCGAGGTGACCCATTTTCCATTGTAGCACACGAGAATAACAATTGTCTCCATTTCTGACCATGACAAAACAACATTTCATTACCACAATATAACCACAATAAACATACAATACAATAGCAATATAACCACAATATAAAAACAATATAATAGCAATATAACGTCAACATAACAGCAGTACGACAGTGAAATAAGAGGAACGCAACAGCAGTACACCAGTAACACATCAGCAATCACACTATACAGATATACTACATCAAATGGAAAATCCCAAGTTTCAAGATTCACATATCCAGACCAATCTAAGTGCAATTGGTACAAACCCAGATGACTGAGCATGAATATTCAACAAAACCTAACCCAAACCAATTAAAGCCAAAACGAATTTAACACAAACCCAAACAATCAAAATATAACCCATTTCACATAATCCCACTAATTTTAAGAAAATAACCATCAACACTACCTTTTCGAGGTCGCCAATCCACTAAAGCTTCAAGGTTGCAAGCAGCTATTCAGAAGACATACCTAAAGGGAGGGGTTCCGATTCCAAACAGAGAGCAAGAGACCGAATACAGGGAGAAAGAGAGAGACAAACAGCTGCGCTATGAGAAAGAGAGCAAAGAGAGAGACACAGAGTTGCGCTAGAGAGAGAGAGAGCCAAGAGAGACACAGAGAGCTGCGTTAGACAGAAACCAAAGAGAAAGAGAGCTGTGCTAGAGAGAGAGAGAGAGCTGAGTAGTGCGAAGAGAGAACAAACTTTCTGAACTTGTGAACATTCAGCAATAAGTGGACAATAATTGTATATTTATAGATGTTAGTTGTAAAAAAATTGGGAGCCGGTGGTATTTTTAATTGAGATTATAATTTTGGTGGTATATACCGCTATTTCCCTTATTCTTACCCCCCTCAACTCTCCAGCTACTATCAATGCACCACTTTGCAATTTCACCAAGCTTTACAAAACCCATTTTGCATGTTTCGTGGGGGATGGTCAACCTCTGGTCAATGCACTCCTGACTGCCAAGGAGCTCATTTATCTCTTCTAGCCTCCTAGAATTTTTATATGTTTCCCTGTCCACCAGAGGCTCACCCCTTAGAAGCTCAACTAACAGTAGCCCGAAGCTCCATATGTCTTCAGCCATTTCTGATAGTTGCTCAGGATTAGCTCTGTTGCTGCTGCTGCAATAGTTTGCAGCCCCAAAACCTCCTAGTTTTGCGTTGTAGAATTCATCAAGAAATATGTTTTCAGATGTTATTTTTCCATGATATACTGGTGGCTTCAAGTACATATGCAGCATTTGAATGGCAGAGCAGATTTGTAAAGCTATTGCTATCCTCTTATCCCAGTCCAGTGTTTCTCCTCTTTCCCTCAAGTTCAAGCTCAAGTCTCCCCTAACCATGTACTCAAACACAAAATAGTGTCTTCCAAGTCCATCTTGAGAATGCCCCAGAAATGAAATAATGTTTGGATGAGAAGAGGATTTGGCCATAATCTCTTGTTGAAGTTCTGTTACAGCAGCTATAACTCTTAGAGATTTAATTGCTACCAGACCTCCATCAGTCGAAACTGCTCTATAAACCACAGCAGAAGGCCCCTCTCCGATTCGGTTTTCCACCTGAATAGCATCTATGCTCATTAGAATAAGGCCCTCGTCTGAATCCATTGCGTTTTTGCGCTCTAGTTTCTTTCTAACTACAGCTAATGCCACAGCAAGAAGAGAAACACTAGCTGCTATAAGTGCTAAGACAACAATAAGGATGACAACCAAGACCTTCTTGTCATGATTCACAGGATGAGCGATGTAAAAGTTAGCTGACCAGCCTTCTCCTTGATCAGTCTGAGTGGTGAATGCAATAATAACCTCCCCACTCAAGTTCAATTGTGGGAGATCAGAGCCTGTAAACAACCCGGAAAAGTTTGCTATCTGCTGCATTGTGCCATTATAAATCGCAAGAAAATCCAGACCTTTAGAGATGTTTATATGAGTGAAGGTTATAAAGACAGGAGTTCCAGGTTTTCCATGGAGAACCCATTGGCATTTCAGTCCCTCTACATAGGGAAAGCTAGTAGATGCGACATAGCCAATATTTCCATCATGTTTGTATAAATTTTCCTTTCCATAGCAAAGTCCTAGCATTGTGCAGGAAACTATTAAAAACAACTTTTATACATTATATATATAGTTAAAACAGTCATATTAGCTTGGGATAGCTTACCTGCAGTATAACTGAGCTCCCATCCTGTTGACTCAAAAGAAACTTGGTCACCAGTTCTGAACTCAATGTAAGCTTTTGAGCTCATCAACTTGAAATTCTTCTCATATCTTCCATTGTTTGATTTCAACGTAGAACACTGTGCAGATTTTGATTTTGCCTTGCAAATTAGCAGGTGATCATCACTATCTGCTGCAACTGAAAGGTAGTTGATGGTGAATCGGATAAACTTTGCTGTTGGGTAGTGGATTGCCCAATGACATTTTTGGTTTGGGGGATATGGCTGCAACCCATTGGAGTGGTTTACTATAATTCCACCCCTCAAGTATCCTTTTGGCTCCTTTAAGATAACCATTGCATTAGTTTCACAGGTTTCTGGAGGAAAAAGAAGGGGAAAACAAACTTGATTATGTTAAAGACAAAAAAGAAAAAAAACACCGGAAGAAAGGCTCTGGTTAATTTGCCCAAAAAAAATAAACGAGAAAATCAAAAAGAACCTTTCAAAACTTTGCAGCACGTATATGAAGATATTTTATGGTTGACTGTTATCATATTCTTTACTAGTGAACAGAGAAAAAGAGGGTCATGCATATTGCAGAAGAAGAAGGCATTTAGCTTTCTACTTCCCTATTTGATTCTTATAATACCTGAGAGTTTCAAGGCGCAGTTCCTGGTTTTCTGGTCCCAAACATATGGCATGATGTATCGATAACCATTCAAACCAACCACATTGAAACTCATATTCTTTTCTGTATCCCTGAACAAAGGAGGATCACCATTATCCCTCCAAAATGGAGAGGCACAAGAATTACTAACTGTCATCCCACTGCCATCATTACTAACCCATCCACTTCCATCTTGGTTGGTAACCTCCTCAGCAATGTTGGCAAGCATATAACCCACCAAGCTATCAACCTTCTCATCACCATTTGGAGGCCCCAAGTAAGAATTTCCATGAAAAAGCATTGAACATTGATCAGCAGCATTTTGAGGGGCTCTTGCCCAAAGAATATTTACTTTCAACCCTGCAAAAACCTCAAGTTGAAAACTTCCACTACACATGTCCGTCAGTTGCCTCTGCTCCTTGCTGTCTAAGAACATCACAGTGTAAGAAAACACAATATGGTAGATACTGTTATCATTTACTTCGAAAAGCCGATAACAGTTCAGGTTCCCATCAAAACCTTTGATGGAAGACTTGTTGAAAACTGATCTCCCAATGTAAACTACTTGGTCTAGGGTCATGTTGAGTTCAGGGCCTGTATAGAAGCACTCAGCACCCAAATCCACTCTATCAGTGACAGGAACATTGTTACTGTCTCCATACTGTCTAATAATCTCCCACCAGTTTCCCAATGTAGGAACCTCAGAATCCTTAACAAGATATTGAGATGAAGTTAGTGAAGTAACAGACTTTTTTACAGCTTCTCTATCAGATTCTTGCCAACCAGTACCAAACCATAGAATATTAACAGAGACCGGTTCTGTCATGAGTTTCCCTCCATGATAAGAAAGACCAAAAGAGCTTTCACCAGAAGAAAAACACTGAAACTGAGCAAGAAAGAACAGTGAAGTGCCCATTAGAATAAATCCAACCATTTTAAATTTTCGAAAAATATCGTAAATGTTAATGGCAATGTAATGGAATTATCATGGTAAGTATAGTGTGGGTTTTAGCCGGCATGTGAATAAAAAAGGTCTAAAGATTGAAGTAAAACAAAAGAAATAAAACAATAAGTTGGAAAAATGCCAATGGCCGGCCAAATAACTTTTGATGGTCTTTGAAAGGAACAGACTAGATAAACTAAGAATGGCTGACGGAGTGGATGACAATTGACATGCATAAAAGACGGGTAAATGGTTTCATTAAGGGAAAACTAGTTAAAAACACTGATTTTCTTTTCTTTTTTCTTTCTTTGTTTTCCAAGTAAACCACTGCTTCCAATGCAGGCGAGCAGCACCCAAGTCCACTCTATCATTAAAGGGAACATTGGTAATTCCCCATCAGCTTCCGAATGTGGAAAGATATTGAGATAAAGCTACCAAATCATACTAGAAGAGAAAATTGTAGGAATACCTAATGCCGAGCTTAACGGGGGTGTTTACAGTGGGTTTGATCCATATTTACATCTAAGATGCTACAAATTTCACAGATGAAATCAAAGACCCCTATTCTAAGATCCAGAAGAACATGGATGCCACAAGCTAACGCTTATTACGAGCCTTATGACCATTGATGTCACATATTATCATACAGATGCCATGTATTTTCTACGACCCCTCCCTATTTATAATGGCATCCGCACGATAATAACATGCGGACATCTGGATATATATATATATATATGTTTAAAAATCAAAACGAAAAATTGACCGAGAGAGAAAACAATCAAAACGAAAAATTGACTTGAGAAAGAAAACAATCAAAACAAAACAAAATAGAAATATGATTCCCAAGCTATGTGAAATCCAAGAGGTTTATAACCAAAAGCAGTTGTTCCAAGGTTGAGTTTTAATATCAAGGTCGTATCTTACAATAGCTCGAAGCAGTTCAATTAAGAACGGAATTGAACTTGAAGAACACAGGTTCAATTGGGCCCTTTCTTAAATGAGCAAGCCCCAATGCCCATTACTCAACAGCTCCAATGGAGAACGAATACAAAATCTTTTATGTGAAAAGAGACATCAAGAATAACAACAGTAAATCTGATTTACATTTCATCTGGAAAGAAAGTTTGAACATATGAGGACATATTCAATCATTTCCTTCCCTCAACACAAATTCAACCACCTCAAGTGGCAACGATAAAGGACAGCATGGCGGGACACCCAACGTAATGGAGAAGATGGAGGAGAAAGCCACTGAAAAAAGGACAACTCTTCTGGTTCAGGAATCTCTTCTAGTTCAGGATAGCATGGAGGACTATCAAGATCATCCTAAAGCACAAATAATCAGATAAGTAACATAGAAAAAAGGCAAGGCTAGCATCTAAATTAATAAATAAATAAATAATCTAGGGCTAGATCAGTGCCAGATACTATGGGGATAACAGTTGTCCTATTTTAATGTAATGGGTAAAACAATAGTCCACTGCTCTCCATGACTAAAGCAATAATCCAAAAGAAAAGGGTCAAAAGCTTCTTCTTCTTTTTTTTTTTGTTACAAGCCTTAAGTGTATTAAGAAAAACTGTGCAAAGTATCACATGATCGTGGAATTTTGTTAGACTTGCCCGCCCTTGAATCTATATTTACACAACAAAACTAGCGAGGAAAAAAGAACAATACCATTGCTTGTTTAGACTCCAGATATTCATCCATGGATGTTGAATCTGCAAGAAAGAACTAAATTCAGAAATCATAACTGTATAAACAATTGCAGATACCAATTAAAACGGATAAGTTTATAAGAGAGAAGAAAAAGAGGTCATATTTCAGTTTCAATCAAACCATCTCTGTATTTATTACAATAACAACTTAACAAATTAATTCTAGAAAAAATTGTCATATGAAATATTTTGATCTTCCTAATTCCAACCAGAGCCATTATATTCTGTCCTTCCCTTCCCCGCTAAACCTCACCAGAGCCTCCACCTCTTGTTTCAAGCAACCTCTTATTCAGTTCGTTAGAATTTAGCACTGCTTTAACTTCTGCCAAAAAAAGAATCTCCTCTACCATGAATCATGGTATGAAATGAAAACTCTTAAGAATTTGGAAGGGAGCACAACATAATAATGAATTAGTTCTCATCATCAATGTTTTTCAAGATCCAAGATGATCTTATTAAACTCATCCAATTGCTCTTTCATAAGATTAGCTTCAGACATTTGCAGTGCACATAACTGTTTACTCATAATTTTATTTGAGGGACAGCATTTAGGGTCCCCTACAAAAAAAATTTCAACGATCCAAACCATCTATTTTTGAAGTCTACATTCATAGATCATCCTTGCAAAAAATTAGACATCGGAAACCGTTTAAACATCCAATTGTGTCCTACAAAATCAATGAATACAGTACTTCAAGAAAGTACTAAAATTTCATTAACTCAATTGAGTGGTAAAATGATATCGGATTCAAGTGATTTTGTTGTAGAGATGATCTTTGAATGATTATCTAAAAAATAGACAGTATTCGTGAAATACAATGCTGAGTGGGCCCTACAAGGGTGTTCCTCAATGGAAGCTCTTTGTATATATATATATATATACATATATAGGGTCATGATCGGGAGACGCACATAAAACCACACTTTTTTACGCACATCTTCAGCCCTTAGATCCATCCCAATCTAACGGTTCAGAATTCATTTAAGATGCACTTAACCTTGCATTTATTACTTTATTGGCAACAAACTCAAACTTCTAAAACTCCTCTCTCTCTCATTCTTTTTTATTTATTATTCTCTCTCTTCTTTAATTTGATTTCATGTCTATTTCCCAACAATCTTATTCACTCTCTTCCTCTACGACTTCATAACCCATCTCCCTGTGCAGCTCTGTTCCTTCCGCAACTCCCTCTTAATATTCTCTTAACTTGAAGCCATGATAGTAGATAAGATGCTTGGAAAATATCTTATTGCACCAATTAAGATAACGATAGTGAGAATCTCCCTTTACATGTTCAATGAAATCCAATAGGGGATATGATTTTGGGCTTCAAGTTCTCGGATTTTCATGTTTATCTAATGTTCAACTGTTATATTTTTGTAATCTAATAGAGCATATATCCCATATTGGTGTTGAAGGGGAAATATTACTATTGTTGTGATTTACAAGCTATCAATAAATCCCCTAATCTCTAGCATATATCCCAGACCAAGTTTAATTTGAGTCTAAGAGTTTCAAAAGTTTGTCAAATTTTGTGGCTTTTTGTGTGTCCCTCAATCCTGACCCATATAAATATATATATATTACATTTTGTTAAGCCATTTAGTAATGTAACGATTTTCTAACTTTTTGCATAATCTATCAGGCATATCTTTTTCAGCAGCCTCTCTCGCAACAACTCATTTCTCAGACATAAAAGAATTGAACTACTAATTTATCCACGATTCATCCTTCTCTGCATAGCAGTTCATCTTTAGGTACAGGGTTTTAGCTAAGCCTAATGCACCAGTTCAGCATGCATTTTGACATGGCAGTTGTCATATACTGAAAACATCTCATCTGTTAACTTCCCTATTTCAAACTTGTTGCCACCATTGAGAACTAATCGACCAAAGCTCAATATCAATCACAGAGAGAAGAAATTACGTTGTAACTTTACTCTCACTCACAGCATAATATGATAACAAAAAGAAGATTACAAAGTTCAAAACCCAAAACCCAAAAACACCCAAGCACTTCTACAGTCTTAAATTTCAAAAACTTTCCGATATGTTGCCTAACACTACCCACACCCTAATGCCATTTATATAGACTCATTAAAACCAAAGTCCATTGAGGAATACGAATAACTTCTTTATAAGGAAATATGAAAGTTTCACTTGACAGTGTATTTCAAATAGGAAACAGAAGTCAACAATGAATTTGAGACATATTCTGCCACAAAATACAATTGACAGAAGACAAAATGTTCATGAATATCAGGATTCAAGATATAGTTACCTTGTACTGGAAGGACCCTGTCCAAGTAAAACTTATTCATCGCTGCTCCTTTTGCTTTGATACATTTTTCGTGATCATGCAAAAACTTCTTCAGCTACATTAAAATCTTCCTTAGGTAGTGTCTTTTTCTTTGATGAAGCTTCCTTGGGTAAAATCTTGTTTGTAATGTCATTAAGAGCTTTACGACTCCCAAAGTCCACTCCACCTTTCTTTGTAGCTGTTTTAGAACACTTGCTCTTTCCACTGGCATTAGGCTCTGCAAAACAAGTACGTGCTTAGTAAGAGAAAATGTTTTGTGCATAGTAAGAGAAATTGTTTTGTGGTAAAGCCAGGGTATAGAAAGATATGTACATATATATATAGAGGCTTTCTAGAGTCCTGGTGTCCTCATTTTCCTAAATTAAGTACATCCTATTTCTGACCTATTAACCAATGATCCGAACCATAGTTTTTAGTTTCTCTTTCAAGGATTATCCATGCAAAAAATTAGTTGAATCCGAAATTGTTTAACCATTTGATTATCCACATTTTTGTTTCAGTTTTATCTAACTGCGTTTTTTAGGCAAATTTTAGATAACCAAACAACTTGGGATTTGGACGATTTTTTTCAAGGATAACCTAAAATACAGAATGTTCCTATTGTTGACATACGTTGTTGGGTAGCCTTAGAAAGGATGTGTTCACTTTTCTTACAAAAAAGGGCATCCTTAACAGAGAAAAAAAAAATATATATATATATATATATGCACAAATCTGACAGTCAAAGGATAAATGTCAAAACAAATTATGCACCAATTGAACATATCATGAGTACATGCCAAGTGGTCCTGAGTCCCGAAAAAATTTCCAACTATTCTTTGAGCTTAAAAATGTTCACCTCAAAGGATAGCAATACAACATTAACAGAAGCATGAACCAATACCTTTACGTTGAATGTACAAGTTTTCATTTGGAATGATCAGCTGTTTACCAATGGCACGCCTTGCCATTGCTTCTGCTTTATATATTCTTCTATACTGTGAAGATGCAAACTTGAACACCGAGTTCTGCAGCAGAATATTGTCAAGAGCAAATGTTCAACTCTAAATTAAAAAACCGAATATGGAAACAATGTTCCATCAGCAACAATAGCTTCATTTGTTTAAGATAAAAGGATAAAGCTTTGCAGCTTTTTTCAGTTTAACATACAAACTAGGGGCTGTACCCTCTGGATCGCTATACTCCTAGAAAAATGATATATACAAACTACATGATGTACACCCTGGATTGCTGTACTCCTGGAAAAATGGCTGTTCTTACACACAAAAAACAGGAAGAAAAAAGGCTGCACTAGAAAAATTTGTGTTCATATTAGTCCTCCCACCCTCTCCCCCACCCCCCACTCCGAGAGAGAGAGAGAGAGAGAGAGAGAGAGAGAGAGAGAAGACAACTTTCATGTAATCACAATCATTAACCTGAAGAAACCATTTTCTTTAAGTTCAAAAATGGTATTGATGTTTGTTTGAAACAAGATATTTTTCAATTGTTCAAAAGTTTTACCCAGCAGTTTATTAGGAAATAGTTTCTCAAGGCAGAAACAATTTTCCCACTGTTATGTCAAGTTAAAGCCTTGACCAAGAGGTCCATAATCAAGAAAAAAATTTCTATTAAAAAATATTCAAAACTTTATCGAACAACCATAAAGTTTCCAGAGATAACCCTTTTAAGAAACTTTCCCAACAAAAACCTTTTTTTCCCTCAATAATTCGATGTTCAGTTGAAACAAATGGAAAATGAATACAATAAGAAAGGTAGACCTCCCAAAATGATATCTCCATAACAAATAAACTCAAATAGAACCAACAGCACAATGTAGCTAGTATGAGAAATCCAACTCACAATACCAATAAAAAGAATAAAATAAAATAGCCAAGACATTTATTCAAAAATAACATCAAAGCCTGTCACATTTATTCAATTTCTTCAGTCATGAGATTCAATTCAAATCGTTGGCATGGATGCAATGATCAAACGGGTTGGAATGCATATGATCAAACGGGTTCGAATTCAAATGTTTGGACCAATTATCAAAACAAGAATTTCCAATCTACAAGAAAATTCATAATTTTTTGAAAAATCCCAAAATATAAATGAGCTGAGACAGTTGAGAGAGTTAAGAGAGAGTTTCGAAGAGAGAGATTGAGATCATACCTTCAGTTGAGTCGAGAGAATCAGAGAGATACAGAGGGGCGACGAGAGAAAGAGAGAGAATAGAGTGAGAATCGGTGAGAAATTGAGGGTTTAGGGTGGCGTCGGACGTGATGGTGGTCGTCCGACGACACAGGCGGGGACGATGAGAGAAGCGGTGACGAGAGAGAGAGAGAAGTTGAAGATGAAAACTGAAAAAGGAAGAGGAAAAAAGTTATAAAAAATAGGCCTATTTACCATAGTGCCCCTGAAACTTCGAGTCAAATCTCACTTTATCCCCAAAGTTAAATAGCCCACTTAGAGCCTGTTTGTGAGTGCTTTTGGAAGGGCCAAAAACATTTTTTGATAACTAAAAGCGTTTCTGACAGTGTTTGGCAGAAAATTTTAGAAGCGCTTATGGGCCATAGAAGGACTTCCTAGAGAAGCATCTGCTATGTGCTTCTTCAAAAAACACTCTCAAGTGCTTTTCCACGAAGCACTTTAATTTTTTTTTATGAAAATTCAAGATTTTTATAATAAAAGCGCTTTTGTTATAAGCGCTTATGAGCATAAGTACTTCCTAGAGAAGCAATCTCAAACGAGCCCTTAAGCTCCTTGATCGTGGTTTTTTGTTCCACTTTATCTTCTACCATTATCTCCAATAATAACTTCGTCAATGTTGATGATGTGATAGGGCTATTTTAATTTTTGGGGAAATAGCCCAAAATGCCACCAAATTTTTAGTTTTAAGTGGAAATACCAAGTCTCCCCAAAAATTTTGCAAATACCACCTATAAATATATATTTATTGTCTAATTATTGCCCACAGAACACTTTTTCTGAAATTTAGTTCTCTCTCTCTCTCTCTCTCTCTCTCTCTCTCTCTCTCTCTCTCTCTTAGGTCTGTATTCGTTCTCTCTCTCTCTCTCTCTAGCGCAACTCTCTCTCTCTCGTGCAGTTGTATCTGTTCTGAATTGTCCCCATCTCTCTGTTGTGAATCTGGAAACCCCCCATCGACCCCATCTTTTAGGTAAGTTTTTTGAATAACGTAAGGTCGCAGCTGCGTGCAACCTTGAAGCTCTACTCCATTGCTAACCTCCAATAGGTATTCTTGATGGTCATTTTCTTAGTCTCTGTGGAATTCTGTGAAATTGGTTTAATTTTGATTGCTTGGGTTGCTGTGAAATTGGTTTTATTTTAATTGCTTTGGGTAATGTTTTTTGAATCTTCATGCTCATTGGTCTAGGTTTTTACCAAATGCATTTAGATTGCTCTAGATATGTGAATCTTGAAACTTGGGATTTTCCATTTGATGTAGTAGATTTGTATAATCTGATTATGATGAATCCTTGTTCAATGCTGTGTTAGTGTTGTTTTAGTGATGTTATATTATTGTTGTATTGCTGTTGTATTGGCATTGTATTGCCTGGTTATTGTGGTTGTATTGCAGTGATTTGGTCGTGGCTTCAAATGTGTTAATGAAATGTTGTTTTGTCATTGTCAGAAATGGAGACAATTGTTTTTCTAGTTTGCTACAATGGAAAATGGGTAACCTCAAAGAAGATGTGCAAATACGAAGGGAGTGACTCAAAAGGCTTAATACTACCACGGACCATCACATTTGCTGAACTGTTGGATCATGTGCATCAGATTGGTAATACAAACAACATGGAAGACAAGGTTTGCTTAAATTTCTCAGTTTTGGTGGCCTCGAATGAGTTGAAGCACATAAAGATTCAGGACGATGATGATGTCAAATTGTTTATGAAGTATAATTGTAAGGTAACACCTTCAAAACTAGCTCCCTTACTCGTGAGTATAGAAGATAAAGGACTGACAAATGATGTAGTTGATAGTATGCATATGACGACAAATAGTAGTCGGATGGGTCATTCTTCAGTTGCCATTGTTGAAAGCAATGAAGTAACTCGAAATAATACAAATGTCGCTGATGTGGAAGGTGATGTTGGGACAAATTTTATGGACATGATTGATTTTAGCGAGGTGGAGGAAATGCATGGTGGTGATAATGGTACTGAAACAAATGAAGTGTCAGTGTACTCTGCCCCTCCTATTTTGGGCCGCTTGGACACATCAGTCCAGTTGCCAATAATGCGTTTAGGAGGAGAATCTGGACCCACTCGTGAACATAATTTGAGTGAAATGAGTGAACATAACCAGTACAATGTGGCTGGTGTAAATGATGGAGAAGCATATTTGGACATAGAGTATTTGCGAAGTGATTGGAATAGGAAAATTAAAGTTGGGCAAATTTTCTCCAGTAAGGGAGCCTTGTTGACCAACTTACAGTTGAGGACATTGAGAGGCCACTTTCAATTTAAGGTGCAATTCTCTTGCACTAAGAGGCTGCTTGTGGTTTGTTGTCAACGTCCATGCCCATGGCGGGTCCGAGCATCGAGAATTGGAGAATACAACTTCATTATTGTGAGGTGTACAACTGTCCATGAATGTGATTTGAGGTTCGTAAATGACAACCATCGTCAAGCAACCGCATCACTTGTAGCCACTTCATTGAAAAGGAAGTTGAAGGATTGTCGGACAATATACACACTAAGTGACATAATGAGAGATGTGAAACACAACTTTGGTTTGACCATTCATTATTCGAAAGCTTGGAAAGCGAGGGAGTTAGCTCTAATTTCCATTAGAGGATCAACGGAGGAGGCATATTATATCCTTCCAGCCTATTGCTATGAATTGGAGCGTATGAATCCTGGCACAAAGACACACATCCATACTGATGAGAACAATCACTTTGTGTTTTTTTTTATGGCAGTTGGCGCATGTATTAGAGGGTTTCGTTCTTCAATGCGCCCAGTGATAGCCGTGGATGCCACTCATTTACAATCCAAGTACAAGGGTGTTATGTTTGTAGCAACATGGCTTTGGTAATCAAAATATATATCCTCTTGCTTTTGGGATCGGGGATTTGGAGACGGATGCATCATGGCATTGGTTTTTCACTAAATTTCATAAAGCCTATTGGTAAGTGTCCCAATCTTGTTATCATTTCTGATCACAATGTTAGCATAAAGAATGTGTGGAACAAAGTTTTTCCAAGAGCGCAACATGGCATATGCTTTTATCATATGAAGGGGAACATGAAACGCACTTGCAAGTTGAAAAAGCATGATCAAATGCTGATGCACTTTGAGCAGGCTGCGAAATCTTATTCAATGCTTGAATTTGATTGTCATTTTCACAAGATCAAGAGAAAGGAACAGGTTGCTGAATATCTTGAATAGGCAGGGTTACACAAGTGGTCTAGAGCTCACATGGATGGACGCCGCTACAATGTAATGACAACAAATATTGCGGAGTCAATAAACTTAGTCCTTAGGTTTGCAAGGATGCTACTAGTGGTTCATTTGATAGGGGAAATTATAAATCTGCTTGTGAAATGGTTCACCGAATGTCGTGAGTTGGCTTTGAAATGCACAACAACATTGTGCCCCAATTTTGGCGAAAAGAAGTTGAGGAATAAGTTGGATGATGCTTCAAGGATGAATGCCATTAAACTAAATAACGCACAATATAATGTTGTGGACGGTGATATGGACGGCCTCGTACATATGACGAACAACAGTTGTAGTTGTAGGAAGTTTCAGCTTGACCAGCTACCTTGCAAGCATGTAGTTGCAGTTTTCCGCTTCTTGAACCAAAATGTACACTCCAAGGCTTCTCGGTATTACAGTCAAAATACCTGGTTGGATGCTTATTCGGATAGCATCTACCTGGTACAGCCTCAGAGAATGTGGGTTATTCCTGAAGATGTCCAAAGTCAAGTTGTGCTACCTCCCATGGCAAAGGTCATGCCAGGCAGACGGAAGAAGCTAAGAATTCTCTCACAAGGAGAGGGCACCATTACAAGAAAGTGCTCAAGGTGCGGTTCCACATGGCACAATAAAACCACCTGTGAAAACAATATTCCACTACGCAATGTATCTTAGAAAATATAATTTCGGTTGCTTTGTTAGGTAATGTCAACTTTAATTTGATTTGTGGTGGGTTTCATGTTTGTTGAATGTGAATTGTGTTAAATTTGCATAATTTAGGTTGCATTGCTATACAGCATGGTGTGTTCCCTATTTATTGTGACAGTATCGCTATCATATTGTAATTTTATTGCCTCCAGATTGTCATTATATTGCACATTTATTAGACTGGTATTGCTATTGCAATTTAAATTGTGAGTACCAAATTAAAGGCCCTGGAATGTAACTCCAAATGGATCCAAAACATTAAAGTTCTTAGAATTCCATTATTACATGCTTACCGTGATACTCCTACTACACCTTCTTTTCTGATTACAATTTCAGACCGCCGTTTCAAATCTATCGGTGTTGTCTGATACTGTGGTCTGAACAATGCAGCAATAGTCAATGACAATGAGTTTCACAGGTAACCGGGTGTGATCAATGGCAATAAATGCTTGTATGTCTCGAAGGACATGATGAGTTGTTAAGCATCATGAACGCCATGAACATATATGTCTTCCAATGGCTCCATCCCTATTAAGTTAAGGTATGATGCATGAAAAAGGTTGCCTACTTGTTGCAATCGACAAAATGAGAAGCTGAATTATGTGAATATGTGTTGGTGCTAAAACTAGATGGGTAGTAATTAGGCCAATTTTAAGATGAGGTGGATGTTGAAGGTGAGGACCCTCAGTATGTGAGAGCATTCGATAAGTAAATAGGCATGCATACAGAAGACAAATGTACGTGGTTCACCCGAATAATGGGCTACGTCCACAGAGAAGTATGTTCTCATTACGATAATGTGAGTATACATTGCACATAGGTTTAGACTCAAGGAGAACAGGAAGAATATCGAAGGCCGAAGGTTGAAGGCGGGAGGCCGAAGGTTGGGGGCCGAAGGCTAGAGGCCGAAGGCGAGAAGCCGAAGGCTGAAGGTTGAAGGCTGAGGATCTGATATGATCCGTGGGCTTTTAAGTGGGCTCATGGGTAAGCCCATGAGGCCCCAGTGAGCCATACGGAGCCATAGTAGCCTGCCCAAATCTCTCCTTTTCTTGAAGGAGAGGGGTCTTCTTTTATAAGTGAGGAAGAGTCCCCTCTTCTTGTGTTTTGTCGATGTAGGACTCCCTTCCCTTTGCTTGGATTGGCTTGGGAATGCTTGGCCAGATATTGTACAAACAGTAGTCCCCCAAGTTCCCGATTAAGGAGGTACTTCTTGATTGGGGACTTGTAGTCATCAATGCACTAGCCAAGTAATGCTTCAGCTCATTCTTCACTTTCATTTGTATGCAGCTTCGGTGTGGAGTTGTTGAGTCAATTCTTCATTGGTGCCGTTTGGCATGTAAACTAGGCGCCGTAAAGGAAAAATGTCCCTTACAGGTGACGTTCGACATGCAGTGCAGAAGGTGCCGAAGGCGGATGCCGAATCATTGGGGGGATGTGAGGACATAGCACACGCCGAATGATGAAAGGGTGCCGAAGGCTGAAGGCCGAAGGCCGATGCCGAAGGTGGATGCCCGAATCATTGGGGGGATGTGAGGACATCGCACGCACCGAATGATGAAAGGGTGCCGTTCGGCAAGGCGGCGTAGAAGGTGCCGAAGGCGGATGCCGAATCATTGGGGGATGTGAGGACATCGCACGCACCGAATGATGAAAGGGTGCCGAAGGCTGAAGGCCGAAGGCCGATGTCGAATCATTGGGGGGATGTGAGGACATCGCACGCGCCAAATTATGAATGGGTACCGTTCGGCAAGGCGACGTAGAAGGTGCCGAAGGTGGACGCCGAATCATTGGGGGGATGTGAGGACATCGCTCGCGCCGAATGATGAAAGGGTGCCGAAGGCTGAAGGCCGAAGGCGGATGCCGAATCATTGGGGGGATGTGAGGACATCGCACGCGCCGAATGATGAAAGGGTGCCGAAGGCTGAAGGCCGAAGGCCGATTGTAGAAGGTGCCGAGGGCATGGCTCATAAGGGTGCTGAGGGGCACTTGTTGTAGGGTGTCGAGAGCACTCGAGAAGGAGAACGACATAGCGTTTTGTGTCGTTTCCCACAGACGGCGCCAATCTGTTGGTGCTAAAACTAGATGGGTAGTAATTAGGCCAACTTTAAGATGTGGTGGATGTTGAAGGTGAGGACCCTCAGTATGTGAGAGCATTCGGTAAGTAAATAGGCATGCATACAGAAGACAAATGTACGTGGTTCACCCGAATAAATGGGCTACGTCCATGGAGAAGTATGTTCTCATTACGATAATGTGAGTATACATTGCACATAGGTTTAGACTCAAGAAGAAGAGGAAGAATACCGAAGGCCGAAGGCTGAAGGCCGAAGACTAAAGGCTACGGGCCACGGAGAAGTATGTTCTCATTACGATAATGTGAGTATACATTGCACATAGGTTTAGACTCAAGAAGAAGAGGAAGAATACCGAAGGCCGAAGGCTGAAGGCCGAAGACTGAAGGCTACGGGCCACGGAGAAGTATGTTCTCATTACGATAATGTGAGTATACGTTGCACATAGGTTTAGACTCAAGGAGAAGAGGAAGAATACCGAAAGCCGAAGGCCGAAGGCTGAAGGCCGAAGACCGAAGGCTGTAGGCTGAAGGTCGAAGGCCGAAGGTGGCTGCAGGCCGAAGGCAATAGGCCGAAGGTTGGAGGCCGAAGGCGAGAGGCCGAAGGCGAGAGGCCGAAGGCTGAAGGTTGAAGGCTGAGGATCTGATATGATCCGTGGGCTTTTAAGTGGGCTCATGGGTAAGCCCATGAGGCCCCAGTGAGCCATATGGAGCCCTAGTAGCCTGCCCAAATCTCTCCTTTTCTTGAAGGAGAGGGGTCTTCTTTTATAAGTGAGGAAGAGTCCCCTCTTCTTGTGTTTTGTCGATGTGGGACTCCCTTCCCTTTGCTTGGATTGGCTTGGGAATGCTTGGCCAAATATTGTACAAACAATATGTAAAGGGAGGAGCCCCCTAGTCCACCATGTGATGGTGGGACCAAAAATCGCCATGTGACATAAAGCACCAAAAATCGCTCTGTACAGTGGGAGCTAAGCTCTAACCGTAAGTTGGAGACAAAGTTGCGTCTTTCCGGAACCGCTCTCCCCTACCAATTCTGTTATGGAGTTGCAAGGTATCCCACCGCCCAAGCAGCCATCTAGTATTGGGCATCCGATGGATAATTTAAGGGTTGAAAGAGGAAGGAGCATGAGGTTTTGTGGTGTCATGTTTTTGTAATTTAGGGGGGGATGTGATGGTGATGCAAGGCATGATTTGTATATATAGAGTCCATATTGAAGGTGTGTAATGTAGGCCATATGCCTTTTAGGGGATGTATACTTCATCCCTTTTCCAATTTTTAATTTAATTTTTGTTTACTTTTTTGTAATTTTTTCGTCTAAGATATTTTAAAAACCATGCTGATGCAGTACCTACTGCAAAAGGATCGTATTGCAACTCTATTGTACTCTTATTGACATCATATTGCCATTAAACACATGCTTATTGTGGATTTATTGCCTCTATATCGCCACTAAACTGGACATGGATAAACTGTATACGTAGAAATACAAAAAGAGGCATCATAATTCCATAAAATCTAATTTTCAAAATTACATAATACAACTAGAGGCCACCCCATAGTTACTTAATACAAAAAGAGGTCACCTGAACATGATTCCATTTTACATGTTGTTTCCACTACATTTTACAGCCAGTCCAAAGTCATATTAAAGTGTCACAAATTTGCTGCTGTTGCCACATTCGAAGTTGCATACTCTTCAATTGCGACGACCGCAACCCATGAAATTCATGACCCCGCCCACAGTGATGTTGTCCCAGTTTCCTTTTGGATTCACTATTTTTGTAAACTTACGAAATAGTTCGAATCCAGTTTCCACTTGTTATTGCTTCAACTAGGCCATTTCATCAGATTTCTTGAATACCATAATTGCAGTGGCAGGGGCAATTTCAATTTTGGCTTTCATACCCTTTATATGGAGGAGATGCATGCGGGCATGATAACGAGAGCGAAATGTGCGCTTTCTTATGACATCCCACCTAGCTTGGCCCTCCACAATTTTTGAAACTATGTTTGCATGAAGATTTTTCCAAAACATGGTATTGCCTCGACATTGCTGCATGCCATGGACCAAGTCTGCAGTGAGTGAATTGGGTGACTTGGCTTCTGTTTTAGTCTCCCTTCCTTCAGTAATTGAAAGTGTTAGGTTTGGTGTGAGGTTATGGTCCATGGTTTTGGATATTTAGGTGTAGGACTTAATTGGAGAAAAATGGGACTAAATGCAATGTGAGTGAAATCAGTAGGAAGGTAATGGCTGCAAGGAGTTAATATCATGCAAGTTTTCCCTTCAGACAGCTTTTTATTTTGTCCAAATCCCTTCATATAGCTGGGTTCATTAATATAGGCAGCCATTAATGATGTGGAGTAAATGAGATAGTAATTGGCGGAAGGGATTGGGGGGAGCAATTGGCGGGAGGAGCGATTGGCGGGAGTCTTGGGTGGGATAGTATTGGGTGGGAGTTATTGCCCACTTGGCTTTATGCATTTTTTTAATATATTTATATTTTGAATTTTCCGATTTTTTTACATTTCCCATTATGTAATTGAAATAATTTGCCTAATTCACCAACTAATACAAATTGTCCAATATGGTCATTTTGTTATTTCCCATTTCTGCAATTTCAATTCATTTCCAATGTTCCATTTTTCCTATTATCCAATTTTCCAATTTGCCAATTTTGCAAGTTTCCTATTTTCCATTTTCCAATGTTCCTATTTTCCTATTTTGCAAGTTTCCTTTTTTGCTATTTCCAATTTTCGTATTTGCCAAGTTTCCTTTTTTTCCTATTTCCAAGTTTCCAAGTTTCCTTTTTCTCCTATTTCCAATTTTCCAAGTTTCCAATTTTCCAATTTTCCAAGTTTCCTTTGTTCCTATTTCCAATTTTCCTATTTGCCAAG